GACACAGGAAATTAAGGCTCTTCTGTATTACAACTAAAAGATATGAAATCTGAGGGTACTCTGAATATACTTTTTCTTGAAAGGTTCTGAGCAAAGTTCTGCTAATCTAATTCTGACTGGCACCTTCCCAGGAACTGACGCCATGTGATGTTTCTGCATTTACTGTGGACTCTGTCACAAAATTGTAAGGAACAAAACTATAGATGGAGAATAAACAATTAGCAAATCAAACACTTGAAGCTGAATTTAAATAAAATAAAAAGAGTAATGATTGTGGTCATAAAGTTGTAAGGAGAAGTCACACACATGAAGAAAAGAATGTAATTATAATGGATAGATCAAGAATCCGCGCTGGCACTTGCAGAGAACTTTTTGTAAGAAAATGTTAACTCATCCGATAAAATTTTATTCTGGCTATTAGGAAGAATATCAAGGAAATAAAAATTCTTCAAGGACCAAATGACATCTCTACCCAGTACAGTTATTGTTGTAATTCTTAACTATTGATGTTTTATTGATTATGCAGCATTCCAGGAAAAACAAAAGTTTAAAAACTGTCTTTGATTTTATATGGCTTGACCAAAAATATTTCAGTGGTTTTTTTTAATTGAAAAGAAAAACGCAATCAAAATAGGCTTTAGCCCCAAAGGAATAAAAATAGTAACCTGTGGTAAAGTAGTGGATCTTGATGAATCACTCAGTAAAACTTTGAACTCCTTTTCAGAGAGGCTTTGTAGTGCAAGGGTGCAAGGTATTTAGTGACATTTTCACCTTGTGGCTGCTTGCTTGTGTTGATGAAGGCTTTGTAGTACCCCAAAGAGAAGACCATAATGGTGTGTGGGTTGCAGGCATACTTTCTACCTGAAACCAGATGGAAGGAAATGGCTGGCTCAGGTTCTGGCAACATAAGCAGATCCAAACAAACCGATTCCCTGACAGCATATTTTACTAATGGAAGCCATCATGCTATAGACCATGTGAGGAGGCAGATGAGCTTTGCTGCAATCTGTCTGGTTGAAATCTTCAGCATGTTAAATGATCTCATTTTGCAGAGAAGCCTTTGATAAAGTAAAAGCAGATATATGTATTTCAGCTATTAATTAGGTTTTCAAACAAACGTCATGAAATGGATTACTTTATCTACACAGACCCTGAGTGCTGAAGTCAATTAACACATGACTAAACCATAAACACTTAACTCATATTTGACTTTTTGTACACATAAAATCGAGTTGCAAATATTGTAAATAGTTGCATCAAGAGAAAATCTACTATAATGTTCTTAAATGCTGCCTTAAGATATTGATAATAAACTTTTCTGAGTCAAACTAAACACTGAAATGTTTTCAGATTTTAAAAGTTATAGGTACCCCCTATTCCATATGAGGTAATATTTTGAGGAACATGTTTCTGTTATGTTAACAAGTTTGAAATTCCTCTGTAAAACTTGAGTCTGTTTTAATACATTACAGGAAACAGCCATCTGAGGCAAGGTGTCAGCTGTGGTTGCCATTCTTGGTGGTCTGTTTGAATGTATTTGATACTGACTTAATTTTATACAATCACTTGCTGCCTTCCTTTTCTTGTTCACCTGTGCGGTCCTGTATTTTGCATTTTGTGGGGATTTTTTGACTAAAACAGTCCTTGATTTTAGAGTCAAGGTTTTTTTATTTTCCATGGTTTTCCAGACCTTTAAGTGCTGCTCACCTGACAAATTGTACTTTGTCAGTTTGAAGATTAATTTGACAAAATTGTTTGGGCAATATGCATATTGTGCATGTACTCTTTAGTGATTGATCTTTATTTTGCTTTTTAATCAATAAAAGGTCATTATTTCAAGATTTTAAAGCAAAATATTAAAATCATGGTGTAGTATCTGGGACACTGAAGAAAACAGTGTCCCAAAAGAAACATGTTTGAGTTTGCTTCCACATTGCCAGCAGTTGTTTCTGCTGCCTTGCCATAGGTGCCTTCTGCAGAAGTGCATTCTCAGACTGGTGTGCTATTAGGCAGAAATGCTGAGACATTTGTCGCCTTTTCATATTTAACCAGGCTTAGGAAACTAAGACCCCTTTTACAGCTGCTGCTAACTTTTGGCACGCTGTCTTTCCGAACATCTCCCCTCAGCGGTGAGCAGAGAGGCTGTTCCGAGGCCTGTCTGGAAGGAGTGCTCAGCAGAGCAGCTCCTCCTCCAGCACGTGCCTCCCGCCTCGCCGCGCGCTGACCCACGAACTATTTCCAACCTTGATCCTCGTTGTTTTCCTCATGTTGGCCTTGTGGTTATCTGATCCAAGAAACAGTGCAATATCCTTAATGCTGAACTCCTTTGCCTCTCTTGGTTTGTTTTACCACCCTAGTGTCGTGCCTGTAATTTTCTTTTTCAGTAACATTGAACACATTTTCTCGAAGGGCTTGATTACTCGCAAATGTGTAAAGCCTGATGGCAGCACTGCCAGCAGCAGCAGCAGCGCTGGAAACCCCAGCAGTTGTGTGTCCTGTCTTCTGCAGTGTGTGGCAGGACTGTGAGTTGGCCTGAGTTTGGAGGTGGAGTTCTCCCCTCCTTTCTCCAAGAGTCTTCTTGGAGTTAGCCATATTGAGAGTATCCAAGGGCTTGCACTCTGGGAAGGACTTTTTTGGAATACGCATAGAATGAGAAAATGTTCTTTAGCAATAACCTGCTGTTTGGGGAAAGACAGTTGTGTGGGAGGAGGGGGGCAGCAGTTGCAGGTGGCTCTGCCCTTCCTCACAGGGCTCCCCCATTCCGGCCCTTAACAGCCTGAAGGCCAGGTCCATTTTACTAACCATGTATTGCCCAGGCAGAAAGCTGAGGACTGAGGAAAACACACGTTGGCCTTACCGTGTATCTTCTTTCAGAAGCAATCAGCAGAGGGAGGAAGAGCTCCTAACAGGCAAAACAAATAGAAACAGCAGGTAACTTGCTATAGTTAGGGCTGAAAAAAGATACCCCAGTGATGCTGTTCACCATAAGTGCAAGCAGAATAGAAAGTTCTGCGGTGTTTTTTTGAGGGTCAGGAAGAGATCACATAGTTTACTGAAAAGCTGCCTCTTGGCAGCGTGCAAAGCAAACCACAGGAACCAGAAGTACCCGCTGGGTTTCATACCGAGTCGGGCAGTTTTTAGGCTCTGCAATAAAGGGTCAGACTAGAAGACTATTACTGTTATTGTTAGGAAAATTATTTGTTTCCTGTGGCCTCCCAGAAGGAGTAATGTCAGGCAAGCCTCCACCGTTTATTTCAAAGGAATTTGTAGCAATTATTACACAGAACCGCTGACATGTGAGATCTTGTAGCAGCCAAGTCTCCAACCAGCAGCAGAACAAAGATTTATCTAGCTGCAACAAAGGCCAATTTTTGAGAAGACTGTGAACTTGGAGTTAGAAGTTCTAGGTGAAAAGTGACAAGGGTGACCAGCTCAGGGGAAAGGTTCATGGAATTAAATATCATCTGCTGACTCTATTATTCTTAATCAAGGTGCTCAAATAGGATTAAATAAAAGTTCTGAGCGCAATTTAGTACATAGACGCAGTGTATGAACTTGTGGGGTTTTTGGTGGTGGTCGTGTTCAGACTTTTTGTGTGTGCGTGGCTGTGTTTTTCACCTGAACCTTTCTCCGCGGTATTTTGACTAGTTCTCTAACTTAGTGTGAATGTTTTATGAAAGTAAGCATTTCCGCTGTGATACTTCTGTACATTGCATCTGTTGCCTTGGATACCATGACAATATTTTAAGTACTGTCTTGCCGGATGGGATTTATAAATTAGCTGATTGTGAAAACAGATGAGTTGGCTACATGTAGTGGCTTGGGCAAATTGTGAAGTTCTTTAGTCTTTACATTGAAGGTGGAAATTTGGACATTATTCTTTGATATCTGTCTTTATCTGAGATACCATTGCATGAATGCTCAGGGTTGCTACACGTATAATATAAATTACATTCTTTTTGTTTGGTTGAGATTTTGAAGGCCTGTTTGCATTTGATGATGGGTTACTTGCTTGTTCCAGTAAGGATGGAATTTCTTTTGGGAAGAGAAATTGTCTCAGAAAGGCAGACTAAGGTTAAATTGCTATGAATGGTGATTTTCTCTAAGCATTTGAAAGGAAAGGAGTTGACATTAGAAGAAGGTGACATTTTGTTGTGCCTTTTAACAGTTTACTTTTTAAAGTTCCTTTTCACTACTTACAATGGGTTTTCTTTTTCCTCAAGTGAAAACAGAACCCATTTTTCCTCCAGTAAATAGGAGATTTGGTATGTAACGAAGTCTGCTGCCTGCTCCTCATACCTTTTTATGTGAACTAGTGATCACAGTGGATACTGTGCATAAAACCAGGCATGAGTGATCCTAAGAAATTTATGTGATACAAATGTGCATATGTGCATACACACACACCTTGTATTTGCATATATGCACATGGAGTCATGCCTATGTGTTGAGACATGCCTTTTATGCATATTTGTATATTATACATATATGATAAGTTTACATAAACACTGTAAATTCCTTGTGTTTATCATTTTCTTTTACTTCCTTGTGTCATATAAAACACAACCATCAGTTTAAAAGTGACAGAACTCTATTAATATGCATTCTGAAGGCAATATGCATTCATAAGTACAAGTTTAGATGCAAGCCAAAAATAGCTGATTTAAAAACTGAAACTATCTCTATGTTGTATGATATTTGTGTACAGGAAGATGGAACTACTTCCCAGTTCCAGTGTGATAGCACATCCGATGGGAAAGCAGCCCCTCTCTTGGCACCGTGGTGTTTAACAAATTGCATGGTGCTCTTGTGATACCTAGCGGAGAAGCTGTGAAACCAAATTAAGTTAATATAAGCTATCAATAAGCTGAAGCAATTGGCAGTGTAAATCTAGCTTCTCTAGTTTCTTTCATTTTTTTTTATTTATATTTGTGATTTTATCGATTCAACAGCTAAAGCAGCTGTATAATGATTGCTTGTTCTATTTTGTTGTTTTCCAGCTCCCTCAGGCTCAAAAGGTAAAATATTTTAATGAAGCTTCAGTCATTCAGAGTCCTTCATGTGTCCATGGTGTTGAGCACGATGCAGTAGTGATCAGTGAAACAGCCACTGTATCAGCGCCCTGGAGCGGGGCAGCAAGAGAACCAAAGCTGGCATCCAAGTAGGGCCTTGTGGCATCTGCGGTGCTTCCTGAGGGCTGCTAGCTAAATGTATCTGCTTTTTGGACATAATGGACCAAAACTTGGAAAGAGCAGGAAAGCCATTTCATTTGACAACTATATCAGGAAAAAAGGAATTGTTCCCACTAGTCCATGTGAAACCTCTCTGGATCCTTTTATCCTTGTGGAACCATGGTATGGCTGGTCCCCATTCACTGGTCCCCACTGTGTCTAGCAAAACACCTTTGAATACATCCAGCATTTGACCTATAGTAGGTTGTCTACAGTTTCCCATACTCTGCTTTTGTCCTTAAGCAGCTTCTGCGTTGGTATGGTGTGTTAGCAGTCACCATTGCACGTCGTGGGATTGCAGTGACTGTGGCAAACTCTGCAAATTGCTTGATGCTTGTTGCATCATTCTTGCGTGTTTCACAAATATAATCAAAGCTTCCAGAAAACAGAAAATCGAGATGCTTTTGCAGTTTGTGATGCAAAATATCGGTATGAAAAAATTAATTGGATGTATTGGGAAAAAGCAATACTCAGTCTTCTGATTTGTTCTTATTGTGCTACGTAAAGAACCTTTAATATAGAAAGTTATACACAGCAATTACCTACCACTGTTAATAACAGTCTTGGACAATGATAAAAGTCCAGTTTTTAGTGCAAGCTGTAGGTTAAGTGCTCTTCAGTGAATAGTGTTTGTGCGACACTCAATGCTTTAAAATGGTTAATTAATGTATCCTATGCAGTCTTTGGTTTAAAAAGCAAGAAACCTGAGCATAGGAGCTTTTATTTTTATGATGCTGTATATCTGAGATTTCCTTGCTCATGGAGCTTGGGAAATCCTGTTTCTAATCTGCAGGTAACATGGTATCCTATGACACTAGCCTGTGGTCTCTAGTTCTGTTCTTGTGTTCTGATGGTTGCAGAGTGTACGAAATGCAGTGTTATGGTAAGAAAAAAAATGTCCTTTTTCTGGAAACAGATGATTTAAAGAACTCTCTTCCTATAGCTTCCTGGATATGTGGAAGGATGAAAAAGCTGGCTAGACTGACTAGCTTTGGCTTTTTCATGCTTACTTGCTTGACTAAGAGTTTATGCCTAATGCTTCTTTAACAGTTTGCAGAACAAGGAGACGGGGTGAGGTTACAATGCTGGCCCAGAAACATTTAACCCATCAGACTGTTTAACAGATTGTGCCGCATAACATTGTATCATGCGTTCTAATGTCTATAATGCTGAGCTATTAAATAATGGCCTGAGATAAATTACTAGTTCTAGGTCAGTGGAAAAGCATGCAGTTTGCCCAGGAGGCCACAAAAGCTATTCTTTTTTTTCAGTGTTTTTCACTGAGCAAACTAATGCAGATCCAAAGCCACGTATTGTGTGTGTGTGCACATGTGTCTGCTGAAGTATGTGCTGTCTCCAGGCGGAGAAGGTGGGATGGGTGGGAAGGATGAATGGGAGGGAGAAAGAGGGCAGGTACAAGTACTCCATGAAGGTTTTAATAGCTCAGGTAAAATATGCCTTTTTATAAACATATCTTATAAAGATGGTAGACTTTGATGCAGGATATGCTGTTTGTTATTCATACCTGACAGGCTTTTCTTGCTCCCAAGATCTTTATGAGGCCACCTTACATGTGCTTGTCAAAGCCATAGCCCTCAAGCAGCTCTTCTCTGTCTTACCACCCCTTCCACCTGATTTGGATCTCCATGCTTTTGCCCTGGATTCTCTTGCAGGTGCTCAGTTCCTAGCAGTCTGCTCCTAACAGCTAAGTTTTTGACCCCAAACTTATCTCTAAAGCTACCCACCCCGCCGCAATCTCCTTCCTTCTTATCTATCAACTCACCCTAAGCAGATGCTTTGTCTGCTGCTTCTGGTACCCTGTCTATGTTTGTGGTGCCATGAGTACGATCCCTGCAGCTCAGCTCAGTGCCTCTGGTCACATCCAGCGAGCAGGGCTTGCTCTTCAGGGGCTCGCCAACACTTTGCCACAGCTCTATATCAAGCAATGAAAATTTGCTTGTTGGTTAACCCAAGAGGCAATGTGGAATTTCAGGCATAAAGAGGGCTTTCTTGGTGACTGGTCAGGGTTTTCTCCCCATTACATGCTACACGAGAAAATGCCTGATACTCGGGCATTCTTCCAGCAAACCAGAATACGGCAAACGCCTCCAAAGCAGCAAGTCCCTGCCCATCTGTAGGGTGGAGGGTAGCAAGCTAGGGCTGATTGGTGCCTTCATGAATGACTTAGTCACTCGTGTCCATGTTTTGACATGTGGTGTCTGAACTTTACTGTATTTTTGTTGGAATCTGTGTGTCATCCTGCAAATGTTTTCTCTGTAAACATTTCAAACAGGCATGTCTCTCTAAATGCATTCACTTTAATCTCCGAGTGATCTGAAAGAAAAATGTGGCATCCCACGTTTACCTTTACTATTTTATATCCATTATAAATACTTGGTCATCTTGATGAAATGTGAATTTTTTGTATGAAACATTTTGGTTACAGTCCTTCTGTACAGCCGTGGTCATTAGCTATTCATTCTGAAGACTTAGATTTTTGTCCATCTGAGGCAGCTAAATATCAATTAAAAACTCTTTAAGGTGTTGTGCTATCTGCTATAAATCAACATATTGCAAATTCAGAGTTGGAACGCAGGTGTGAGGAGTTTGATGTCTGTTGTACCAAGACAACATGTATTGAATAGATTTTTGTCATATTCCAGATATATAAAGTAGAAAACATCCCAAAACCAAAAAACTAAAATTAGTTGCAGATGATAAAGATGATGTTTTAATATGGCTCTATAGCTTTCAGGGGAAAATATGAAGCTAATGTGTCTAAAAGAAAGAGGCGCTATCCAGAAAAATGGAAGAAGCTCATGTGACTTTCATGCTATATTTGTTAATTTTTCTGCACATATTTGGGTAACCATCCATCCCAAAGGATTGAAAAAATAATCATAGAAGAAACTGATAATTCGGATTTGCAGAATTTGCCACTTTTTCCGTTTGACTTCCAGAAAGACTTTTACCCATCAAAACCTTTTGAAAGGTGGTTTGTATATTAACAGGTGAGCAAAAGCCATTTCTCTTTATTAGCCCCCAAAGGGCGTTGTGCCTCGTGGGCGGGAAGCTTCCCCTGCTCTCCGGATGGAGCACGCAGGGCCCGCGCGCGGTTGTCCTGTTCCTGCTGCCGTGTTTTGTTCTCCTCGGCTTGCGTGGGGAGGTGGAAGCCACTTAGACACACAAGTGGGAGGCAGATAGCTGTGTTCAGGAGCAGGGGCTTTCTCTAACCACTTTCTTATGAACAGAACCCTATTTCATCCATATAGAAATGTTTTGATAATGTTTCTTACCCAAAAGTTCCTGACAGCCTTCTTTCTTTCCTTCCTTCTGTGTTACCCTTTAACTTCTGTAAGTAGTGCTTTGCTCTCCTTTTAGCTTAATGCTATCATCTTGCAGCCATTTGGGAGCATCATTTATCATTCCTCGCGTCATTTATCTTCTTACACTTTGAAGTGTTGAATTAACTGTCACTGGGAGTAGAGAATCGAAAATGTGTAAAGGTGCTGTTTCCCTGAAGTGCATGACTAGGAATTTTAACATTTTTAGAAAATTATAGAAGTTATGTGAAATCTAATGAAGCACAAAATAATCATGTAGTAAACACTTGCATTTGACCCTGATTTACCATTCCTTTGTTTCTTTATTTCCTGGTCAGGAGAGGACATTTTCTTTTATAATGTATATAAAAGGAAATGACTTTTTTAAGAAAACTGCATTAAAATTGTCACTTACCTATTACTTGCAAACTTAAATTTAGTTTCCAAATTTATCACGCACCCTCATCAACAAAAAACTTACTTTTTAATATCTTAGGGGCAGTGATCTGCCAGCTTCTAAGCAGACTTGTTAAAATAAGTGTTTTATGACTTTTTATAGCTGTTTGGCTAAACGCAAAAATGTCCTTCTAATTTCATGCCCCTGCATGGATTCCTGTATTGTCCCGGGCACTAATTTGAATTTCAAACAGAAGAGTGGCTGGTCCTTGTTCTTGTGGGCTCTCTAGAACAGAACTGAGCAGCGAAGCTGCAGTGCTGGGCAGCACGAAGGGGCCAGGATGGGGCAAGGCTGCACCCGGGGAAGGAGGGCTCGGCTGGGAAGGGACAGGGCTACACAAGGTGGCCAAGAAAAGCCAGAGGGCTCTGCACAAAGCCCTGGGGGTTGGTGTGTCCCTAGGGATAACCTCTCACAATAGCAGCCGCGGGATTTCTTCAGTACTTGAACCTGTGGATAATTTAATTAAACCATGTGGAAATCAAAGCCCCTATTGGTGGACGTCAAAAAATCAAATGGGAACACCGTAGATCCAGGCAGATTACAATTCAAAGAGATATTATTGAGAGATCAGTCTATGAAGAATTTTTGGCGTTTCTGTGGTTATGAGTCACAGTTGGATGGAGATGGATGATATCCTGTTTTTTTTAATTAAAATATGGATAGGCACTGCATTTTAATGCATTTGAATAAGCTTATTTAACAAGCAATTGTTTCTTTCTCATTGCTCTTGAAGTTTGGGATTCTGTTGATGCATACTCACTGTCCATCTTCGAAATAAAATCAATTAAATAACACAGTTTATATACGTTTGCTGCAACAGATACTCTGTTCTGCAGAAATTTTCTGTAGTTGCTGCAGTCCAAAGTAAACTAAGGAGAGGAATGTATCCGAAAAAAAAAAAAAAAAAACTTGTATGAAACTTTTATTCAGTTTAGCTAAGCATTATGTAAAGCAGGAAATGAAGGAAATGGGGATATTCAGGACTATTGTGCAGCATGAAGATACCTTATTGTACAAGAGACTTGCTGATGGCAGATAGAGAAGAGAGTAAAACATTCCTCTTATAAATGTATGTCTAAATATAAGTAAGTACGGATAAATACCAATAAATATTTCTTCTATAAATATATAGGTAAAACAGTAGAGTATGCATATATAAAAATAAATATATAGATATGTAGAGAGAGTGTATATAGGCTTGCTCCTATTTGTCACCTTTAAGAAAATTGCTCTCCTCTAAGAAAGTAATTATACCTGTGATACCTTTAAAAAAAAAAAAAAAACTTGAATAATTTATTGTATGTTTTTCCATTTTTTCCATTGATTTTGTCATTTCATTTTCACTTGACTAATAGGTGAACTGTGTTTTACTGTGTGTTTTGTTTCTTGAATCCGTTTTTTCTGCTTTGACATTCCATATTCCGTTTTGTACCATGCTAGGTGTGCTGAAGTGCATTTGAGTTCCGCATCATTGCTTAATTATAGCAAGAAAAAGCTTTGAAAATCACTTGAAAACACACCTTTTCCTTAGTGCACATCTGTTAGTAACATCAAGTATTGGAGATTGCCAGCGGAATTTTGTGTTTTCCTGGAGAGTTGGAGGTGAAACAGTTTCTGTTTCCTTATCTTTTTCTTAATGTTATGTAGCAACTTGCAGGAAATCAAAATGTGGTAACTGGTATTTTGCTAGATAAGAAAAAGCAGAGCTTTAGCATCACTTTGGGTGTGTTGACTAATGCGGTGCCCCAGGTAGAGAATAAGTGTAGACTTTAATCAGGGGTATAAAGATTGAAGAAACAGAAAGGAGCTTGTGTTAATAATGTGTAAAGAATTTTTATTAAGTGTTGAAAAGTATAGCAATAGAAGTAATAGAGAGGAAGGAAATAAGTATAGAGTTTTCTTTGAGAAGAGAACAAAGTTTAAAAACAGTGCTGGAAGGAAGGAAGAGTTATTAGTACATCTGCGTGTTAATTTAAATGAAGTTACAACTTTGAGGTGAGCCTTGGTGTGAATAGATTTCTGCCAAAGCAAGCTATGGGGGCTGAGCAAAGCCGAGCCCAGCAAGTTTAGCGTGTGTCTTTAAACAGTCACAGAGAATCACGTATTCCCCATCACATATGGGGAATTATTCTGCCACATAATGATACTTTCATAAAACTGGCCAATAGCTGTTAGTATTAGTTACTCCTGAGGGACTGGAGCAGCAGCATTGGATAAGGCGCAGCCGGCGGAGATGAAATTCAGGCAGTTTCACGTTTCTGTCATTCCCAGGGATGCTGCACTGTAGGCAACTAGGAAGCACCTATCTGGTGACATTATTACATTATGTTAGGATAAATATCACTCTATTTCTTTGCCAGTAGCAACCAAAACAAAAAAAAATCTTAATTCTTATGTGTTGATTAAGTTATTACTTAAAATGTCCATCTTGTGATTATGGAGGGAAGAAAGAAAAAATTTTAATTCACTTTTCAATGAGTTTTTTTTTTCCATAAGAAATATTTAATTGCAGTATTTCCTTTTTTGGATGCCTATATACATCTTTTCTGAGCCTGTGCCCGTGTGATGTCCCCTTGATGATTTTGGCAAAGTGTCTATTACTGATTGCACAATACTATAAACATTAAAAATAAGTCCAGCCATTCAGAGGCTTCAGGATTATATATTGACTCTAGTTTTCTGAGTTTGTGATAGTTAATATTTTTTCAATAAGCATTAGCTTCTAATTAAGCCAGTTCCACAGATATCAATGTTGTGTGCTGGTTGTGAATACAAGATATATAAGCAAAAACTTTTTTGGTGACTAGACATCATATTTCTGTTTTTTTTTTTTTTCTCCTCAGAATCCACTAAGTTTATTTTCAGTCCTGAGCTGTCACAGAGTTCTGTTATATGTAGAAGTTGTCAGACTTAACCAGCAACGATGCCAAATTTTTAGTTCATGGCTTCCTTTGCAGTTTATTCACAGACTCTGGTGTTTATTGTTTCAACGGAAATACCCAGTGGCTGCCATTCTACTATTTCAAAGTATTTCTTCTAAAATGTCATTGCCCGGGGAATTAACCTCTCCTCCTCCCACAAAAGATCATTCTTCACAGTCTTAACAATTTTTATGACGCAAATAAAACTGCAGCTTGGGTGGGTAACTCGGTGAACACCAAATACGAGTCATCTATCGGGCAGCTATTTGCTGACTGCGCTTGCAGAAGTGGCCAACAGTCTGTTCATCTACCAGACAAACAACAGGTTGAACTATAAGCTCATATTTCTGTAGGAATGAATGAATATAGCCAGCAACCCTGTGGTGCTTGTAGGTATCCTGGTTTCCAGGGTAGTTGTTCTCTGAATGCCTCTGGAGCTAATGTTGGGAGTTAGTGATCTGCTCTCTCAGAGCTTCCCAGCAACTCTAGACAGCTTTTTTCCCCATTTGAAAAAAAAAATTAAAACACCAACAGATTTTGCTAACAGACATTTGACTGACATCTTATCCAATAACTTGTTTCCAGTCATGTCTTAAGACAGCCCTGGTTATGAAACAATCTCCTACTGGTAATCTCTGACAATTCCATAATGTCAGAGACGAGCAACCCTGGGAAATCATATGAAATCTCTGAACGCTCCAAGTTCTCACCCCATAATCAGCAAAATACTTTTTTACTTCCCAAAGTACCTATATTTGGAACTATTGCCCGTTGTACCACAGCAGGCTTCGCCCATGCCCATCATGTCAGCGTGCCTCGCTGTGCTACCCTGGCCCGAGAGTGAGTTCTGAAGCTAGCTCAGCTATGGTTGTCTTGGAGTGCACGCCCTGGATACCCAGTGTTTTTGGTTTGTTTTGTTTGTTAAACTCATTATTGCTTAATAGAGGAGGGATCATATCAGGGTTGGAGACATCTGGTCTGTTTAAAAAAGAAAACAAAATAGCAAACGATCATGAGCTGGTTCTGCCTCATGTCTTTATCGATTTCTTATCAGTTATACACTTTCTTGATGCTAAAAACCTATTTGTCTTCCTGATGTTTGCAAATGTTCCTCCTAACCTTGGGATGAGGCCATGCTTCATGTAACATACTTGTTTGGAAAACTGAAACGCGCTGACACAGAATGGGAACTGCAAGACCTGTCGTGTTCTAGATTTTACTTGATTTGTTAATGTGAATTATGCTTCATAGAATGTCTTGATCATAACATCTGACTCTTGTGTTCTGAGAATCAGGCAGGTGAGAGCTGCTGCTTAATACCAAAATCATTGTTAGCAAAAAACAAAATTGCAGTGATTCTACAAAAATGTATGATAAAGAGTGCCTGAGTGCAGAAAATTGATAGTGCTGGAGGGGTTGTAAGAGAAAGTCACAGCTGCAACTGCGCATGAAACTCACGTAGAAAATACTTCAGGAAGAGCTGCCTCTTGCTCCCTCCTATTGGCTGAGCAAAGATGTAACTTAGAAGACCTTAATCATGCTTGGAAATCTGTGGTTGCCATTATAGCTGGATACTTCATGCTTTTAACAGTTGTATAAGCCTCTTCAGCTTTAAATGTCTTCCAAAATTACGGGGGGAAGGAGATGGGGTGGGAAAGTGTTTAACAGTATCTCCTTCCAGCCTGAGTCATCCTTAGCGCTTGGAGCCACGGGCACACAGGGCAGCGCTGGGTTTCCTCGAGCATCCCGTCTCGTCTGCCCTGCTGGCACGTGCCTCGTGGCAGGGCCGTGGCCTGGCCACAGGGTGCGAAGAGCGGGTTGGCAGGGCCGTGCTGCTCTCCTGTGGTCCGTGGCAAGGAAGGCTACACGTTGCTCTTGAACAGAACCAAGTGCAGGAGATCCGTTTGCTCTCTAAATTGAAGAAATATGTTAAAAACTGATGTGCACCATCAGCTAATGCTTTATGCCACCACCTAGTGCAGCAAACTGAAACCGGATGGAGCAAAGATGCTCCTGGGATCCTAACGGGTTCTCATCCTTTCTGCTGCAGCGTTAGCTGATGAGATCTCAGTCTGGACCAGAAACAAAGTGCATGCACTCATGACCTCTTGTTCCTTGCTGGGAGAAAACAGCCTGAGGCAATCTTGGCAGAGCTGACACTGGGAAAGATGTAGAACGGAGCTCCAGCTGCTTCGCTACTGCACATGCTGCTTCCACAACCCACATTTCAGCTCCTTGGTATCTCTCATGGGAGACTGCAGCAGAAATGAGGATGAGGCATCTTTCCTGCCAATGCACATGCTGGGCTGGGCAGGCTTGCTATAGCTGAGATGGGATCGGGCTGGACTGACTACGTTTCTAAGTACATAAGCTTCATTTAGATAAATTGCCTTTTCTCATTTAAAAAGAAAAAAAAAAGTAATTGAAAAATGTAATCACAACTATAATTGTGCCCTAGTGCTTAGAGATAATATTTCTTTTTCATATGTAGCTTGCTGATGATCAGGGATTGGTGTTGATGACAACTGTTGCCATGCCAGTATTCAGTAAGCAAAATGAGACTGTAAGTACACAGACTGTTTTTGTCATGCAGTAATGGGGTGACTGAGGAGAGGCCACTTCCCGGGGCCTAATAAGGTTTCAGTCTGCCCTTTTTTCTTTTTATTTTGTTTGCAGTCGTTATTGCTCTGTTAGCATAAAGCATGGGTGACAAATAAGCCTGAGTAGCTATATCCCACTCTCTAACTAGTAAGATAAGAAAACCCTATTTCAAAAAGAAAAATGCCAGATGATGCTAGGCTTTAGTGCTTTATTTCTTCTTCTTACAGAAAATAATCTACATCCATTTTATTTTCCACCCTGATATGGTTCTATTTCATAAACCCAGACTTAAATTAGTCATATGTCTATATTAGTTATATATCTGTTTAAATTTAATAATTTAACAAATTATTAAAGAAAATTACACCTATTCTTCCCTAAAGGGGGAAGATTTTTGTTTTGTGTGTTTTATCTCTGACTTGTATCTCAAATGGCAGGGGAAATTGGGTAGTGAGAGGATAACAGATTTTGAGCAGTAGCTTTTCCTTTGAAAACTATTTGGCATGTAGAAGTTCTATGTTGAGGGACTTTATATTTATGGAAAGTTTGCATGCCTTTTTGAGTTGAATGGCAGATTAAGGAAAAAGAAGCAATGTTATTGATTAAATGATTCTTTGATCAGATGAGCTGTAGCAGCTTCTGTTTCCTATGTCTTTTTAACAATTTGTCTGTTATCTGTTTGTTTCTGTAGAGTAGATACAGGTGAAATTAGTAGTGAGGCTGTTGATTACTATTTTGGAGTGGTTCTGAGTGCATGTTTTCTTGTTCTTTTCAGAGATCAAAAGGGATTCTTCTGGGAGTAGTCGGCACTGATGTCCCTGTTAAAGAACTTTTAAAAACTATTCCAAAATACAAGGTAACTCACAACTAATGAATATATTCCATTATATTCAGTATAATAGCTTACCTTTTTAGCTTATTAATTTACATGTGCACATTTATTAGAATAATGGAACCTAGAGGGAAAAGTCCTCAGTAGTTGTAGTGATGTTGCTCCACTATTTCACTCAATTTCTCTGGGAATCATAGTGCTGCACTCTCTCATCAAGCCCAGCTTTTCCATATGGAAATTAATGACTGGCTGGATCTTCCTTTTTTTTTTTTTTTTTTTTTTTTTAAAGATTTCACAGGGTATTCTATCAGGTATTATATGTGAAGTATAATCTCAGATAAAATCGGTGAAGCCATTCAATGGCATACCATACACAGGTATGACTGCAGAGTTATGCTTGTGTGTAGCACTTCTTTCCCAGTTTCACATTCCAAAGTGGATTCCTTGAATTAAAGTGAGCAGTACATGTTTAGCTTTTAATTGGCTGTCATGCTCTTCTGATTTCAAAAAGGGTGGAAGAATGAGCTCACATGTGAGTATCTTTAAATATTCCTGGATACTGTTGTAGATAACAGTTAGGAAGAAAAATCCTATCCATTTTGATTATAATTTAAATGCACTAGCATTTACCACATAATTTTGTGGCTCAGTATGCAATAACTGGAAGATTTAAATTAAATGAGAATTTGATGAAAATTTATGTATAAGCTGATGTCAATAATATTGGTAAGGTATCCTGCAATAATTCCCTGGGACTTGGATCCTACGGGGCCACATGATGCATGAACAGAACAGAAATGTTGTACCAGCTGGGAGAATGTTGACAGACAAAGGTGAGAGGCAGAGATGAGTAAATGCTAATATCAGAATATAGTGAACTCTGAGGCACGACTGGTCAGGAAAAAGAGCAAAAATTAGTCTCAATATAATAACCACTGAAGTGCTTGGGTTTGGACATTGTGAGCTGGGAGAATTTTGAAGGCAGAAGCTGAAGTAAACTTTTTAGATATTTACAAAGAGCACTTGTTTGAAACCCAGCCAGTGGGAGGCTGACCCAAGTGAATGGGAGTGAGAGCTGGTGGCAGTGAGGGACATGATAAGCAGGATGCCATGGGTTTTGGAAATTTTTGAAAGCAAAGACAATTCAGTTGTGCTTTTATGTGTGCAGAATGGCAGAACTGGTGCAAGGTAGCAGAGAAAGGAGTTAACTGTATAGAATTTGGGTCTAGAGGAACAATAGTTGGACCAGCAGCCTGGAAGAGGTACAGGCAGAGCAAGTTTTATCTGTAATGAGCAGGAAGAATGATGCTGTAGTAACTGGAGGTGTGACCAATGAAAGTCTGGTCATGCATGGCTGGATAGGAATGGCCACATTATAGAGATGTTATTTGGAATGTGTCTGTAAGGTCACATAGGCTGAATATGAGACCCCGGAGTGTGTGCAGTACCTGAGCGTTAGATATCACAGCAGAGTTATTTAGAGTGATTTAGAAAAGCAGAAGAAGATAGACAGGAAGATTAAAAATTCTGGTTTCATCATATGGTATTTTTATATTTTAAAGACTTTGTTTCAGTACAAGTAATATATGATCTTCTTCCTGAATATGAGACTTTTTGTTTGAAGTTACATTTTATATCACAGGATATAATGCAAGAGAAGATTATTGCAAGAGGCATCAATATCATGCAATACAGTTAGGTTAGCAAAATCACTGGAGTTATAACTTCCACTCTCACATACTATAAACGTTTCTGAGCAGTAAAAATACTGTGCAATTGCAAGAGCGTAATCACCCCTGGGACCCATTCCTGTAGAGGGAGTATGTGAAATAAAATTCGCACAAGGACATAAAATGATTGGTTGGAAATGAAATTCTGCTGACCTGAAATTCTCTCAGCTTGTATGAGATGGGTTTTATGCAGAAGATGGTGAATAATAACAAAGAGCTATTTTCAGCAGTCCATTATCCGGACTAAACTTCCCCAGATGTCAGGGGTAGTTTGTCCTGAGTAAGGTAGGGTTGGATACAGTAATATTCAGTTTTGACATGGTACTTTACAGCCCTCATGAAAAACTTTTCCCTTTCGGAACCAGTCTGTCATTTGGGGAGGGAGCTCAAGGTTTAAAATGGCAACAATGCTGTATCTCTGAAACCAAAACATTTCAGGTACAGACTCTACAGTTTCAAGTACGACTAGTGCAAACACAGTAAACGCCACCCTTGGAGCGCAGTGCACTTGCAAAAGGCAAATGTTTTCCCTCAGAAGTGTGCAGCCCACACTGGTCTCCTTCCCCGGCTCCCCGTTTGGGGGGTCATTCTGCAATCTGATGTTCAGCCAGCAACTGCTTCCCTTGTCATACTCTAATAGGTAAAATATGTCCACTGTTATTGTTTTGGTTCTGCTTCCTTTATGAAGAGATGCCAAGACATATCACCTTCTATTATTGTCACTAAAGTTATTGCTTTAGGAAAACTTCTAATTTATGAAACCATCTTCTTTGTGGCAGATATGGTTGATCATATCCAATCACTCACAGAAGCGAGGCAATATAAATCTCACTTGGTTACATTTTCTATATGACCTTGCTATACTATCACATTGTATTTTATATTTCCAGAAAATTGCAGAAGCTATGGGATTTGCTGTTCTAGTTACATTCTAGAGATAATTCTGTCCTCTTATCCTTGACCACATTGCTTTATACCACACAAATTCCTGAGGGCCCACTTCAGCAAAGCATTATGAATGTACTGAAGCTGCCTCCATCTTTGATAAAAAATTAATCATTTGCTTAAATTTAAACCATTTGTTGAATAAGGACAGTTTGTTCAATCAAGTCCTTCATAAGGAAAAATTGTTTTTATAAAAAATTATTTTGAATAGCAAAATCAAAACCTATCAAAGATACTTTTATTTTTCTGACGACCTCACCATATAAAGATGCTCTAATAAACGTAGAGCTACTAGAGAAGAATCAGATTTGCAGGGAGCAGTTTCACACACACTTAGAATACTACATTGCTCCAGAATTGAAAGAACTGATTGGGGAAGTACAGTGAGAGACACAAATTCGGTCTTTGCAAGGTACGAGTCAGTGATGTCCTGACACTGCAGGAAAATGCTGTGTGAGCAGCAAGTTCCTCCGGCGGGACGTCGCAGTGACCACGTGGATGAGGGGAAGGTGCTCTTATTGCAGCTCTGAGAGGCATATTGGTAAAACTGTAGTGACGGTATTTAAATAAGGGCAGTGCTAAATTTGATTCTGAATACTGTTAGGCCTCATAAAGCACTTCATTGCTCTCAGATGATCTCCCATAGTTCCACTTGCTACAAATATGTGAACTGCATGAGTTTCTTTGTTGGAAATAAGACTTGTTCTTGGTGTCCAAATAAACTCACATTAACAGAGAGGTAAAATATCTTTAAGGCTGGTAGATGCAAATAGCAGAGGTCAAGCTGGTGCTTGTAGCATCGATTTAGATGATTTCTTTCCAACATCACTTGCACAGGTGGCATAAGCTGAACCTCACCGCTCCCGGGGACATGTGAATTTACCCAATTCCAGTGCTCCCTTTGCTGTGCCATGTATCGTGTGATGTGTGCTGTGGCATCCCACCTAGATGAGTCTATTTAATTCACTCTAAAGTACATAGAAATGAGTGCCCTAGATAGCAAAGTGTGTGTGACATTTTGCAGTTGTGCTGCATGCTGGGTTCCCCTCAATGACAGGTTCTCATTTTCACAGGGTGCCAAGGCTCAGTGCTTCACATACGTTATCATGGAATACGATGTTGATAAGGTTGTGAATGTCAGCTCTCAGCCACAGATGACTAAATGTTTGGCTGGGTTTTGTTTCAGAAATCCCTGGAGACCGTGCTAATTAGTATTTCTTTCTCATTTTTTCTTGTAGTTAGGTATTCATGGATATGCTTTTGCAATTACAAACAACGGATATATTTTGACTCATCCAGAACTTAGGCCTTTGGTAAGAATGCTGTTTACTAATCGATTTTATCTAGCTATATATGTTGAATTTTTTTTTTTTCTGTGAAAAATGTAGTATTTGTTAAGAAATGTAAATACAACACAGTAGTGTTTTTTGGGGGAGCAACTCTTTGAACACTTTACTGAGTGTAATACTGTTTTCCTCTATAAACAAAGGTTAGCAGAAAAAAAATCAAGGAAGATAAATATACAAGTTGTTCTGCAAAAAGTGTAGACCTCGATTGCTGCAGAATAGCAAAGCCAGAAATTGCTATAATTACGTTCATTCTACATAGAAATGGAATGCTCTATTGTTATGTAATAACCCCTATTTGTCATTTGAAAGTGTTAAAGCCAATTTAAAATATGTGCAGAAATTCCAGTAAAGCATATTCTTAAGCAAAATAGGGGCACAAGGAATTTTCCAACTAAAAGAGAAATAACAGCAAATTTATGTTTATTTCCCTTATTGTCTCGTTTGCATTAACGAGTGCCTGTTACCCAAATATTTGTCAGCTTACCACGCTGAGGACAGGACATTCCTCGTGGCATCACTGTTTAGGAACAGCACTTGCCAGCCTTCCATCACCATCATGTCCCAGCAAAGCAGCCCTCTTAAAGGTCTCGCTGCTGCATGCACGTGCTTGCCATATGTATAATTCCTCATGCACCCACTTTAAGGAATGTCTAATTTCAACAAAATTTTAGTAGAAAACAGAAATATTAATTGGATGGCTAATTTCACATAAAAATAAAATTATCGAGAAGCGTGATTTATGAAGTCATTAGCGTATCTGACATTTTCAGTCAGCAAAGGCATTTTGTCTCTTTAAGATTTGAGCTAGGAATTACACACTTAATTAACATTTGTATTTGCACTTATTGTTTCCTTATTTCCTATTTAGCTGGAGCAGAGC